AATGTCATTTTCATTAACTCACCCATGAGATTTTCAACAATTTCAGCTTCTGGGAATGGGTTCATTCCTGATATTTTGCTTCATTTCTCTGGAAGCCATGACCAAAGAGGTCAATTTAGAGATTTATAATTTAGAGATTCTAAGATTATTTACAGTGGGGAAGAAAAGGCTTAATGAAAACAAGTGGCATATCAATTCAAACTTTTAACACAGAATTAGGATAAATAAACTGATATCTTATTAAAATATTTAGAGACAATTAGATCTACCAAACTTAAGCAAACCCTAGGATAAACCTTAAATAGTTGCAATGATTTATTAATAAAAAAATTTAAGTTAGCATACAAAATTTTATCTGTTAAGCCATGATATATATATATATATATATATGCCTCAACAAAAGAATGAAATTCATAACTAAACAGCTTATCTAAAAAAATATTAAGGATAAAACAAAACTTTCTTGTAACTCTCCACTATAAATTCTGTCTGTTAAAAATTCCATTCTGAGCTAATTCTTATTTTTCTCTAAAAAGGAGTTAATATTATATTGACCTCCCAACTTGTAGGGCTTAGTTTTAAAAGGAGAAAAGAATTTTAGGATATCTGAGGACTGTGAACAGTATGTGAAATCTTAAGTTAAAAACCAACAACATATTCATTGCCTTTTGGTGTCCACCCACACTGGCCTTGGATTTAAATTTTAGTTAAGATTCCCAAGGGTAGTTTAAATATAAACAGTATTATAATACTCATGTGTAGGCTTGCAACTTTTTAAATCTTCACAATATTTCCATGATAGATGCCATTAGACAAATGAAGCACAGAGGGACATAGCACTTTACTCGAGTGGTTCAGCCGGCAGGCAGGACCTGGGGTTCTAGAGCACACACACCACTCCATCTTCAGAAGGCCTTCTCCCCTGGGTCTCTCCTCTTTTCGACCCTTCCTCTCTGTATAAGGATGCCAGTCATTGGACTTAGAGACCACCCTAAATACAGGATAACCTCATCTCAAGACTCTTAATTACATCAACAAAGACCCTATTTTTCCTTCCTATCACAGTCACGGTGTAGGAAGGTTAGGACTTGAACACATCTTTTTGAGGGTCACCATTCTACCTACCACATGTTCAAAGGTATAAAACTGTCTGCATTACTGATTACCCCTATTGGAGAGTGCTTAGGATTTCCGTGTTTTGACTGCTAATAAATTTAGATTAGTATGTAACAGTATTTGCTTATTATGTAGTGTGTCATATTTTCTCTTATGGCTAGATTTAATAGAATTCACTTGTTTTGCAGCAAACAATAGAACTTCTGATAGTCAATACGATGCTTTGATTACAAGTAATTTGGTCCCTATGTATGAAGCATTCAAAAGTAAGTATATATTTAGATTATTAATTTAAAAATGATTAAGTGACTCTATGAACTTATAACTAAACACATCTTTAATTGCAATTGGTTCCTGATATTGTCATCTCGTTTTAATGTTTTAAATATAGAAATAAGAAAGATCTCTGACATAATTTTTTCAACTTACTTCAACTCGGGTGACCTGTTGCTAGAATTTTGATAATTTGTTTTTTATCCTAATGTAACTCTAAAGGGCTATTTACAAAACAGAATCTTACTGACATTCACCCTAAGTAAATCCCTAGAGTCATAATTAATAAGGTAGTATGTGTGTTCTGACCATATTTAAATACTCACTGTCCCTGAAGCAACTCAGCCCTGGGAAGAAATTTGAAGACATATTTCATTGTAATTTCGAGACTGCAATGATATTAACAACAAAAACTGTTATCAATGAGGCCATTCTATTTTGTCCATTCTATTTTGCAGAATTACCCAATCCTCACTGGCTATATTGAAGCAGAATTTGATGCTATTTACACGTACCTGTCTATATAATAGAAAATATTTCCATGTTTAATAGAGGTAGATTTTTTAACAATTCATTATTTTATTTTTAGAAATATGGGATTACTTCCACAATGTTCTTCTTGTAAAATATGCCATGGAAAGAAATGGAGTAAATGTGGTTAGTGGACCAGTATTTGATTATAATTACGACGGTCGTTTTGATGCTCCAAGTGAAATTACAGAGTAAGGAATTTAAAACTAAATGAACCTTTTGGTTTAGCAATAGGATATCATGAGGGGAAACTTCAATCTTTTGAATAAAAGCTCAGTATTCTAAATATTACATAGTATATTTATACAAAGATGTCGTTATTGACTATGTTCAACTAGTCTATCCAAATATTTAGCAAAAAATTTTATGGGAAAAATTTTAACTAATAGGCAAAGAATAAATGTCCAGGAAAAGTTTAGCAAAATTTTTATTTGGAAAATTTCTAAACTAATGGGCAAAGGAAAATGTGTAAAGGTTAAGGTTAAGACACTCTACTATCGGTAAATATGGAATCAGTCTAGCAATAAATGAAAACGATCAAGTAGTGACAATTCATAAAATTGTCCAATAGTGGCTGGTTCATAAAAGTATCTTCCAGAGAGGATGTAGGCTTCATGTAGAAAAGCAGTCCTACTTAAATGTACATTTCTGTACTAAATCTGATAATAACTGGTTGCTAAGAATTACCTTTGAAGGCAGTACACAGGAATAGAGAGCTTCAGAAGTTTCATCCATTATTTCTCTTTGTTATAAAAATGTATAAAGGGCAAAACTACACAATTGTGTAATCTGAGCATAGATTATTTAAAGCAATGATTTCTACCTATATCTTCAGGTAAAGTAACATATATGACTACTGTGTGGTCTTTTTCTATTTTGTTTGTCTTGTCTTTATTTCAGGATTTATTGATCCTATATTTCACCAAATATATATAATCCTAGCAAACATTTTGATAGCACTTTAGTACCTGCTAGGTACTTTTCTCAGCACTTATTGTATTTCATTTAATCCACAAAACATCCCTATATTAAATTCTATTAGCCCCAGTCAGAGATGAGGGAAATGAAGCAGAGAGAGGTTAAGTAACTTGTCTGTGTTCAACAACCGATAAGTGGTAAAGCCAGGATAAAAAGCCAAGCAGTCTAGTGCTGAGTTCATGGAGAAGCTCTAAGTTACAATAATATGTTAGTATTGATACAAGCTCATATTTCCTTTAGTGGACTCATGCTAATAGCTTAACTTTATTTTGTACTTAAAACTTTTAAAAGCACTTTCGCGTTTGTTATCTGAAACTAAAAGACCGTCATATCAGTTGTATGGATTTATTCCCATGTATACACTGTGAAGTTGGTAGCACAGGTCACCTCCATGCAGAAGTTGAGAAGACATTGTAAGTCATAGAATTTTAGAGGGTTGGAACACATCTCAATATCTAGTGGAAGTGCATGGCTAGAGTTGGAATCCTGGCTCTTCTTTCTCAGCCCCTGCTCTGTCAGGAAATGTCACTATGAAGTATAAAGTCAACAAAACCAGGAAACACAGGAGGCATAATATTGCACTCTGCTTTTCTTTGTATTCTAATATTTCTCCATAATGTTAAAATAAGCAAGCTTGAACTTCTATAAATCTCTGTTCTGGCTCATTGAAGTCTAAAAATATATGATAAGTTTTTGTACTTTCTATTCATCTGCTTTCTTGTATTATATTTACCTTGGTCTTTCTTTAAAAATATATAAAATACATTTATAATATTCAGAAGTAAATGTATAATAACATAAAATCTTTCAATTATGTTTTTTTCAGATATGTAGTCAACAACAGCGTTCCCATCCCAACGCACTACTTTGTGATGCTGACTAGTTGTAAAAATAAGAACTACACCCCTGACGCCTGCCCTGAGTGGTTGGATGTCCTATCCTTCATCATCCCTCACCACCCTACCAACATGGAGAGCTGCCCGGTGAGTATGCTCCAGTAGAGCCCCTGGGACCTAAGGAGAAGATTAGGCAGAGCTCGACTGGGCCTCATAAAGTGGCTCTAACTACAACTATATATATATTTTAGGTGTTTCATGGGTAGAGTTGTACTAAAAATAACCACATTTAAAACTTTTCCTTAGACTATTGATTTTTACATAATTAATATCAATGTAAAGATCTATGTGCGTACATGAACATGTGTTTATATATGCATTTGTTGTGTATTTTATTTATACATTTTATTCACACTCAATAATAAAGGAAGTGGTGGTATCTTATTAATATTTTGATTCTGGACACAAATTCTAAGGTTCTGTCCCAAAGTTGATACTAGATAAATGTTTCATGAATGAATATTTCATCAACTTGAAACATGAGGTCTGAAGTTAATCACACACACACACACACACACGCACACACACTATGTTAGTTCAAGTAGCATTCCTTTTCTAACATCATGTATTATTCCAGTATATATTCAACAAATATATTAAGCACTTATTAAGTGCACAGTATTGTAATAGAAACTTTTTAGCATGCACCAAGGAGGAATACATTCTCTGTCCTCAAGGAGTTCATATATAATGTTGATATATAAATGAGATAGATAAATGAAATACGAATGAAGCTAAATGAAGTATAGACATGTAAATGGGTCAGTCACTAATATAAGAATTATTTTACAAATTAAAAAGTAAGAGATGTCACAAAGTTGGAATTAATCACCAAATACTCTTGTATTTGGTGGGAGAAGGGCTGGGCCCTGAAGAATGGGCAGAATTTGAACAGATTGAGATAATTAGGAAGAATCTTCCAAGGAGGGAGTGAAGATTGGAGAGGATTTGGTAATTTATTGGATGCAAGAGCCAAAGGAAATGGAGTTAAAGATGAACCAGAGATTTTAAATGTAGATAATTAGGAAAATGAAAGGGAAGTTAGGAATGAGAACTATTTTGGCAGGTACGTAGGGTAATTAAGTTTAGGCATGTCAAGTTTGTAGAAATGGGTGTTCATATGGAAAATTTCATAGGCTATGAGAGACTGGAAATTAAAGTTTAGATTCTAGGCTAGATTAGGATTCATCTCTATTTTCTCAGGTGCTCACCATATAACTGCCTTCACTATACTGTGTACTATGGGAGATACATAGATACATCAGACATGAGTTCTATCGAAAGGAGCTCATAGTCTAGCACTTAGGACCCTAATAAAATAGAAGGAAGAGATAAATGGTGCAAAGAGGGACAGACAAAATTGCTGTAGAATTTCAAAGGAGAAATACTTCCTGGTAGGTGACATTCTAGCTGGATTTTGAAAATAGGATTTGAACTTGAGTGAATGGTCTTTTAATGACTAAAGATGGAGAGCAAAGACTAGAGGCTACATGGTAGGTCACTTGTAGTCTTAGAGTGAGAAAGAGTTTCCAAAAAAGAAGCTATCAGGAGATGTTGTCTAGTTAAATCTCTTCCTACCTTTTTCTTTTTTTGGTCAGAATTTTATTTAGTTTAGACAAAGGTAAGCCATTACTCTTTACCTCCTCTTCCAGTGGCAGACATTGGTGACTGATACAGTGTGGTACTCCTCACTACTGAATTGTGATTAAATAGTTCCTTGTCACAGTCTTTCTAGGTAGCCGTTATGGGTTGATAAGAATGGGTGTGCAAAGAAGAAACTATTTACTATCCTTGATCTAGGTCCTTATTTCCTTCTTTCAGGACTTTTGAAAATGAATCTTAAGTAGTTTTACTGTCTTCTGGCTTTATCCCCTTCACCTTTATCTACAACTACTAACTTACATAAATTTCAGATTTTTATTATGACATACTTTCTCATCCCAAAACCTTGATTATGTACCCTGAATAAAAACCAAACAAAGAAACAAACAAACAAACATCTCCCAGTCTGTACACAATTTACTGTAGTTCACAATTTACCCTCAGTTGATCCTTGCTTACCCAAGTTCCAGGCCAACCGAAGTCCTCAAAATTGTTTGAACATAGCTTCAGTTTTCCTACCTCGACATCACTGTTCATGCTCTTCTCTTCTCTAGAATATCCTTCTTTCCCATCTCCTAAAAATTTCACCTGCACCTCAAGATAAAGTATAAACAGTACAAAACCGTCCCTGATTATCCAAAGTGGAGGTGGCCTCAAAATTCATAAGATGTAAACTCTATTGAGTAGGACATCATTACTAATGAACTAAACATTATCCAAAATTTTAAGAAATTTTCAGTATAATAATAATATGACATATATAAACATATTTATGAGACACATATGAAGAGTATAAAGCAAACTTAAACCAAGCTATCATAAGAGAAATTGAGAAGTTAATAAGATGTGGCTGTCGATTAGGTCTGGCGGAGGAGAGGGAAAGGACGAGAGAGAGTCAAAGGTGACTAAAAATTTAGGCATGACTGGCCAGGAAATATATAAGACAATCAGTTCTTTTGGGAAAGATGAATTTGTTCTTGTTGGTTTTCATATTGAGAAACTAGTTGGATGTCTAGGAGGATATATGAGAAGTAGTATGGAGTAGAACTTAAGTTCATGGGTTTTGGTGTTGGACATCCTGGCTTCAGTTATTGATTTGGCCTCTTTGGATAAATAACTGAATGTCACTTTCCTCAACTGTATAAAAAAATTAACCTCCCTTATGAAGTTATTGTGAGGATTAAATGAGATATTTCATATAAAATCCTAAGAATTATCAATAAATAGTTAGCAAATAGTGACTATTATAAAGAAATCACATCTTAGGATGACGTTAACATTCTAAAGTCAACATAAAGTGTAATTGTGTGTAGGTAAAATCCCCTCTAATCAAATCACCCAAGAAGTACAGTACCCAAACTGTACCTTAATAAGTCCAAATCAGCCAATATTTCCTCTAGCGTTAGAACAGCTAATTGTGCTTTAAGCACCCAGCGAAATAGTTGGTTTGCTTTAAGAGGTTTGTTATATAAAAACTCTGCAGTTTTAAGTATCTAATCACTCAATCTGGAGAAGTTAATAAGTTTATTCCCACCATAAGACTTTTGAGAGAACTGACGCCAGTTATAGAAATGATGGATTCACAATTCACCTCATATGTGATCTAGGAAACTAGATTCATACTACCTTATTTATTTTCTTTGGTTCCTTGTCCCTTTCATCTTTTCTGCCCTCCTTTTCCTTCCCCAACCCTCAATTTTGTGTGGTTAAATTCCTGTCATATAAATGAGAATATTGCTACAAGTCTAAGTGCCCGTAATTATTATAAGTTGCTCAGCAGATATTGGAAAATACAGATATGGAATTTGGAAGAGAAATCAGAACTGTAGAGATAGATTTGGCATTAAATCATGGGAGTAAAATAAGATCAAATTGAGGAAAATATCTATACTTTCAGGATGAAAAAAAACCTAGATTCAGTTGAGGAAATAGAAGATGTCATCAAACAAATAAGCAGTTAGAGCCATGGAAATAAAAGGAGTAACTTTCAGAAGCTTGGGGTAATCAACTAAGTGAAAGAACCAAAACAAACAAACAAACAAACAAACAAATAAATTCACTCAGGTTGTCCTTGATAAAGCAGTTTTATTACTGTAGTCACAAAAATAACAAGTGGTTAAGGAGAGAGAGTATGAAAGTGGTTAGGGGAGAAAAATACTGAAATTGAAATTGTCTCAAAAGACTAACAAGTGAATTGTATTTGAGAGGTATAAATATTTCTATTTATCTAACAGTTCTAATACATATCCATATATATGTGTGTATATTTTTTATATATATTCCAAAGCATATCTTTAAATATAGCTCATAAAACCTGTATATATGTAAGTCCGCTATTCTGTTGGGATTCACTGGTACAAGTGGAGTAGTTGTCTATATCTGCCTCGTGTTCAGATTGGTGGGTACTGTTGAACTACCTGGTATTAGGAAGCTTGAGTATCACCCCTGCGTAGATATAGTTTTGTGTTATTTAATTGCAGTCTTAAAAGAGGGTAGACTGTCAGATATTCAGTAAACATTTAATTGGATAGATACCAAATAAGCCAGAAGAGAATAGAGTAGTATAAGCCCCGTAGAAGGAAACTTTATGAAAAAAAGTTCTCGAAAATATTAAGTAGTGCTGACGTGTGAAATAGTAAAGGCAGGAACATAGGAATGAATTAGAATTCCACTGGAAATATGAGCTCAAATTACACTACATATTTATTTCAAAAAAAATGAACTCACCTCATAAACCTCACAACAGAGAAATGCGTTAGTGGTTAGGAACTAAAAGTCATTTCCTCTTATACTTCCTCTGGCTCAAGTAATAGCTGCCTATTTTAAGCCTGCATATTTAAAAAACAAGTAAACCACCATGCTGAAGTCAAATGAGAGTTATTAAAACATACTCATCTAATTAAACAAACTTTTAAGCTTTTAAATTTAACTGAAAATTAGCGATATGATATGAATATAAGAAAACTTGTAAAGAATAGGAATTTCATAGAAATCCCTGGCTCCAAATTATTGAACATATTTTATATTGTAAAAACTCATTAAAAGTCACATGACCAGAAATATCTGAAAAGATCATTTAAAATATGCTCAGAGTAATAAAATTTAAACAGGGGTAAAACACTGTTTCACACCATGGTTTGGCAAGGACGTAGGGAGATAAGGATGATCTTCCGTTGCCGGTGGAAGTGGAAATTGGTACAAACACAGGAGTGCTAGGTTTACTAGCTGATAAAGTTGCATGGACTCTCTAACGCTGCAGTTCCATTTGTGTGTGCCGGAAACTCACGTTCTTGAACACAAGAGGCATGTGCCAAGTTATTCATTACAGTATTATTTATAATGTCAAAAATATCATCAGTATGACAATCAAAAAATGGTGCTGCCACAAACCACAGCTGATTTAACTGGTTCTAATATAGATAGGTTAAAAACATAATAGTGAATGAAAAAGCAATTATCAAATACCACTTATAACATCATTTATATAAATTTGAAAACTCATAAATCAATACTATATATTGTGTATCGATGTGCAGTAAAAGTTTAAAAACACAGACTGGATTCACACTGACTCATGAAATGATTAGCTCTGAATAGACCTAACTTCATCTGTAATATTTCATTTCTTTAAAAATTTATATCTGAGTGAAGTAGATATAAAAATGGCTAAACTTTATGGCTATGTGGTGGTCTATATTTGTTATAATATACTCTGTACTATTGTTTTACTTTTTATTTTAATAAATAAAATTTAGCTGTATCTATGATTTAAGGCAATCAAAACCATAGGAACAAATATTGAATTATTATGGTATACACCTGAAGTTAATAGGATGTTGTATGTCAATTATACCAAAAAAAAAAAAAAAAAAGGAAAATAAAAACCACAGAAAAAAAGACAACTTTTAAGTCACAAAATATCTTTCTATTAATGAAAAATTATGCCTTATGGAAAAGTCTTTTGTTTCTTTTCTTTAGGAACATAAGGCAGAAACTGTATGGATTGAAGAAAGGGTGAAAGCACATGTTGCCCGAGTCCGCGATGTGGAACTTCTTACTGGGCTTGACTTTTTTCAGGAAAAAGTACAGCCTGTCTCTGAAATTTTGCAACTTAAGACATATTTACCCACATTTGAAACCATTATTTAACTAAATATATTTTAAAATTTTGGCAAAATGTAAATGATTTTTTTCTGTTGAAGAATCATGAAATAAAATTTTCTATTTTTCCCTACCTCCTCTGAAAACCATGTTGTATTATATTCATTATTCCAATCTCTCTTTTTTTAATTCTATGAAAATGTATTATTTGAAAGTTACATTTTTTTTTCACAGAGATTGTGCTATTATACCTTCTTTCCTTCTTTCGATATGAAAAACAATTTAATACTCATACATTAAACAACAAAAGATTTCCTCAAGAAGAAAGACTCTGATTCATTTCATAGTTATGCAAGGTGGGAGACTGGCTTTTTTAGCATCTTAAGAGGTGGGGCTGAAGTGAGGGTTCCCAATGGCAGTGTCCGTGTGGCTTAAACTTGGTGTTCCGTGGAAGGAAGCAGGTAGGTTTTCTTACGGTCTTGCCCAGATGTGGGGCAAAAGAGGGAAGGGAAAGGTACCTGAAAGCTGTCAGGGATCAAACATCAAAAATGGAGTTTTTGCCAAAGTGGCTGTAAACTAACTATATTATGTTCCCGTGAGTAGTATGAATGTTTTATTCCTTCATCTCCTTCTAACACTTGCCATGTGCAGTCTTTTCAAATTTAGGCATTTTAATAAGAATGTAGTGGAATCTCTGTGTAGTTTTCATTGGCATTTTTTAATGACTAATGATGTCAAACTTTTTTTTGAGTGCTTGTCTTCCTCATATGTTTCCTAGTTAACTGTTCAAATCTTTATTATATTCATTATTTCATTTATTATCTTTGGTCATATTTTTCTACCCAGGCTTATCTATCAGAAAGAGAACAACAGAAGTAGGTCTCGCTTTGGAATTGAATTGATTCTACAATCAGTTTTGTCATACAAATTCTCATATTTGGCAATAAGGCAATATTCATTAAAATAAAAATGCACATTACTTTAATTTAGTAATTTCACTTGTAAAAACTCTGCCAAGATATACTTTGTACAAATGCATGAAAATATCATCTTTTACAGTAATGAAGACCAGAAAACAACCTCAAACACTGGTTGAGCAAATTATGGAATTTATTTAAACAGTGGAATACTATTTCACTACTATAAAGAAAAAAGCTGATCTATATATTGATCTATTATTAAATGAAAAGCAAGTGGTAAAACAGCATGTATAGTATGCTGTCATACTTTTTCAGATGTCAGCAAACTTTTTTTATAAAGGGCCAGATAATAAAATTTTTAGGTCATATATTCTCTGTTGCAACTATTTAACTCTGCTTAATAATCAAGAAAGTAGTCATAGATCATACGTAAAAGGAATTGGAGTGGTTATGTTCCAATAAGACTTTACAAAAACTTTTAGAAGGAGGGCTAGATTTGGCCCATGGGCTATAGTTTGTCAACCCCTGATTTATATAATAAAGTTGAGGTGGAGAGACGTAGCAATTAACAGTAAAGAAAGAGAAAATTTTTATTTTGTGCCTTTTTTATACTGCTTAAAGTTAAAAAAAAAAAAACACCTCTGTATATGAATCTCTTTACTTTTTCAAGATGTAATTATTAATCAAAGAGATTCCAGTACTTATTTGAAGGGCAATACCATTGGTTGACCTTTGGGATTACTAGATTGTCAATTTTTCAGATTCTTCTCTGCTATAAAGACTGTTCTTCCAGGAGACACAAGCTTTCTGGTGATGGAAAATCTTGTGACCTGAGCTTAAAAAACAAACTTTCTATTAGGATGTAAATCGAATTATGGTCATTAATTACAATAATAATTGAAATATTAGCTTAATGCCATTGGAGTTTTAAAAAACATTTTCTCTACTTGTAGGATTTAGTTTAAAAATTTTATGCAGTGAAAAATGTACAATACAGAGAAACTGAGAGACTAGACACAAACTGGAAACTATTCCTAGCTATATGGTAAAAATGTTAATATCCTATGTGTAGATAGAATCCCTTCAATGTTCCCCTGCCCTACTGAGGCCTGGACACTAGATAAGATCACCTGGAATTTAGACCTCGCTATGGAAGATGGTTACAACCTGAACTAAGTTTAACTCTGGATGCTCTCATTGCTTCTGAGTTTCTCTCAAACTGGCTAAATTTTTATTTATATCAGATCAAATGGGTGTTCAACATCAAAATAAAAATTTCAGTCAGAGAAAAATTAAAGTTACATTTTTTTACATAGAGACTGTGTGATATTCTATTTTCCTTTTGTAAACTCATTATCACATTAAAAAGAAATATGTGTGTGCAAAATTATTCTGATGGAAGGACACCAATGACAAGTCATGGAATTACAGGGGATTTGCAATTGCTACTTTTCCACTTTTAGTATGTAGCCTATTTTTTATAATGAGCTTATTTTATTTTTTAAATATGAAAGTACAAACAAAGTTAGTTGCATTCATTCAAAAATATTTATTTAGAAGTTCAAAGATACAGGAAGATTGAAAGGATAGTATAAAGAACTCTTGTATAGCCTTCACCTGGCTTTACCAATTGGTAAGCTCCTCACTACCTTTATTTTTGTCCCCTGAACTTTCTGAGAGTACATCGTAGTCAACATGCCTCTTTACTCCCCAATTCTTCACTGTGTATTTCTTAAGATCAAGGACATTAACTACACAACCACAGTCAGGAAGTTCAATGTTGATACAATACTATTATTTAATTCATAGACCTAATTCAAAATTTTCTCATATTTTCAATAACGTTTTATAATATTTTCTTTCTGGGGTTCAAAACAATCATTCATTGCATTAAGTTTTCTTTTCTCTTTTATCTTTCATAATGTACAACAGTCCTTCAGCTTTTACTAAATAGTATTGACACTTTTGAAGATTCCAGGTCATTTATTTTGTAGACTGTCCCTCAATTTGGGATTTGTTTAATGTTTCCTCACAATTAGATCTCTGTTTTGCATTTTTGGCAGGAATATTACATCCAGGATAAAGTGTCCTCAGTGCTTCATATCTGTGCCATTTTATTGATGCCAAATTTCATCATTTGGTTAAGGTGGTGTTCATCAGGCATTCTTCCATAAAGATAGTATTTTTCCCTTTGTAATTTAAAAGTTATTTGTAGGGGGACGCTTGAGACCCTATAAATATTCTGTTTCTCACTAAATTTTTACCCGCTGGCTTTAGTATCCATTAATAATTCTTCTCTGATTCAATTTTTACTGTGACAGTTGCAAGAGAGTGATTTTTAAAATAGCCATTATTTCTTCTATATTTGTTAGCATTCGACTATAAGGAAAAGCATTCCTTATTTGTTTGTTTGTTTGTTTATTATTTGTTCATTATCTGTATAGACTCATGGATTCTTCCTTATTCTAATGGATTAAAATACACTATTATCTTTTTTTTTTTTTTAATTTTGGTACTTAAATTGCCCCAAATTTGGCCTAGTAGCTTTTTAAAGAGAGCTCTTGTGTCCTTTTGATATATCCTCATTATTTTTTGAGTACTTCTTTACTTTTTGATACCAGTGAAAGTGTTTTGAGCTTCTTTTGTGCTTTCCCTGTGCTAACTCTGGATCAGCCATTTCTCCAAGGAGCCCTGGTTCCAGTTAGTAGGCACTGGTGCCCTAATCACTTCTGGGGTTATCATTGTATCTAGACCCCTTTAGTCAATAAAAATATATTGATCTCTGTATCTCTTTGTTTATATCTCTTTATTTCTAGCTCTATTTTTACTTATAACTTATAAATTCAATTACTATTTAATACTATGATTCTTTCTAACATTTTCCTATTTCATAATTTTATCTCCCTTCTCCCATGGTGAGAGACTTGGTTCCCAGCATGATCAATATACTTACTCATTCGCTTGATCCTACAATACAGCAGTGTTGGAATTGCCAACTAATACCACTGAGAGAAACATACCTACTATGTGGAATTCAAGAAATGCATCCAGTTCTTTGTGTCTCTAAGAATTTGTAGTCAGAATTCTGTGTTCCAAAATTACTTAAATTAATTTTACTTCCCTTTCAGTATAGTTATATTATTCTTTGAAATAATAGTAGTATTCATTTGTTTTTGTTTATATTCCATTTATAGGTTTTCTAATCTTTGTTGGGTCAATTTTACTTTTTTTGAGTATGTAAAATATTAATACAGTTCCAGAAATTAAAACTAGATGAAAAAAGGCACTCAGAAGTGTCCTCCCTTTCTCCATCTAGTTCTTTCCTTTTAATGACATATATCCAATCCATCATTATAAGATTATACAGAACATTTCACTTTCCTAAAAAAAGTCCTTCGTGCTTTGCCTATTCATCTCTTTCTTTCCCATCCCTGCCCACCACTGGCAATCACTGTTTTATTGTCTCCATCGTTTGGTCTTTTTTAAATGTCACATAGTTGGAATCATAGAGTACGTAGCCTTCTCACATTGGCTTCTTTCATTTAATAATATACGTTTAAAGTCCCTCCATGTCTTTTCATGGTTTGATTTTTTTTTTTTTTTTTTTTGTAGCACTAAATAATAGTTCATTGTCTATCATCTACTGAAGGACATCTTGGTTGCTTCCAAGTTTTGTCAATAATGAATAAAGTTGCAATAAACACCAGCATACAGGTTTTTGTGTGGGCATACATTTTTCAGCTCTTTTGGGTAAATACCAAGGAGTGTGATTTCTGGATTGTATGGTAAGAATATGTTTAGTTTTATAAGAAAATGCCAAACAATTTTACAAAGTGGCTGAAACATTTTTTATTTCCACCAGCAGTGAATGAGAGTTCTTGTTGTTCCACGTCATTGTCAACATGTGGTATTGTCAGTGTTTTGGTTTTCAGCTATCTCGATAGGTGTGTAGTGGTATCTTATTGTTGTTTCAATTTACGTTTCTCTTATGACATATGGTGTAGAGAACCTTTTCATATGCTTATTTGCCATCTTTGGTGAGGTGCCTATTAAGATGTTTAGCCTATTTTTAAATCAGATTATTTACTTATTGAATTTTAAGAGTTTTTTTTATATATTTTCGATAACAGTCTTTTGTAAGATGTGTTTTTGCAAATATTTT